GAAGCTCAGGGAAGGGCTCCAGGAGTTCAGAAAGTGGAAGTGTGTGTATGCTGAGTGCTGGAGGCTAAAAACAAACAAACAAACAAACAAAAACAAACCAAATAAACAAAAAAAGCAGAGCTTGAGAAGGCCCCCAGCACCAGGTGCTGAACTCTGCTTCACCTCAGGAAATGGAGACTGAGATGTGGCCTCCCTAGTTATGCTTTGGAGAAGAGGGGACAAACTGTACCCAGCCCGGGTCATAATAGCCTTTTACATGGTATCAAGAATCCAGCCTGGAATTTCATCACCATCATTATAAACAGCCACACCAGAGCCTTACCATTCACTCACCTCAGGAGCTCACTGACTTCCAGAAAGTGAGGTCAGTGAATGCTAATCCTCTGCGTGCCCCTGCCTCTACCCTAGCACCACTGGCCTTAGTCAGTTTTATCATATCAGGGCAGGCGTGGTGGCCCTAGCTGAACACGTCCATTCAGCAACTGATTCAGTATTTGTGTTTTTAAGACATTCTGAAACAAACACAACAGAAAAACAATTTTCACTGATTTACTTCAAGAATTATTACCTGGGGCTGGAGCGGTGGCTCAGTAGTTAAAAGCACTCGATGTTCTTCCAGGAGATGTGGGTTTTATTTCCAGTGCCCACAAGGCAGCTCAAAGCCATCTGTAACTCCAGTTCTAGGGGATCCACTGTCCTTTCTGACCTCCTTTGGCATCAGGCACCTATATGGCACATAAGTATATTTGGTGGTTTGATTAGGAATGGCCCCCATGGACTCACATGTTTAAATGTTTGGCCCACTGGGAGTGGCACTATTAGAAGGTGTGGTCTTGTTGGAGGAAGTATATCACTGTGGAGAGAGGTCTTACACTACACGTTCAAGCTATGTCCAGTGTGGTACCGTCTCCTTCTGCTGCCTACAGAACTCACAGCTCCTTCTCCAGCACCATGTCTGCCTGCATGCCACCATGCTTCACTACATGACAATAATGGACTAAACCTCTGAACTGTAAGCCAGCCCCCAATTAAGTGTTTTCCTTTATTAAGAGTTGCCATGAACTTAGTGTCTTTTCAGAGCAATAGAAACCCTAAGACAACATATACATAGTTAAAACAGTCATACACATAAAAATTAATCAATTAAAAAGAACTATTAGCTAGTTGTGGTGGTGTATAACTGTAATCCTAGCACAGGGAATCTGAGGCAGGAGGATGGAGCTTTTCCCTGCCCACCTCAGACAATAGAAGCCCACAGCTTCTTAGAGGCTATTATACTGTATTGTCTGTCTACAGACTTGATAGTTCAAATCACTTCAAATTTCACATACACAAAGGAAAGAAAAAAATCATGAACTGTATCTCCTACAAAGCCATGAGCAGGCAGCTAGGCCATATCCAGAATCTCAGGTTCCTCGCTCATTGCTCTGAGGAAATATAGAAACCAAAGGAAGAAGGGAATGGATTTCTCTCCTTTGGTCCAGAAGGGGAGAGGACATTTCCCAATCTCCATCTCACACTCTGCAGTGTACAGAGGTGGAGAAATGTGCATGTGTGGATTTAGCTGTAACCCTCAATTATCAGATATAAGCGCCTCAATCACGGGGGAACCCACTGATGCCACCAATTATCCTCATCCCCCAAACTGAATTTTCTAGAGAAGGTCTGATCCTCATTTTGCCAGCGCCAGGACTTGTGGGCATCCAAACAACAATCCTCTCCTGGTTTTATCTACATGCCAACTCATGCCCTTACTCACTTTCTGGGAATTTCCCAGAGCAAGGGAAAACTAGACTATTCCACTCTGGTTAGGGAATTCTGCACAACCTATATCCAAATTACTCTAGCTGTCTTAATCAGGTTACCAAAATTAACATAATCCCCAAGGGGCAACAGGTCAAGACCTCCAACCTGATACTCCATGGAAGACCAGCTTTACGTAGTACTCTAAGCCAGGTGTTAGTGGCACATGCCTTTAGTCCTAGCACTCGGGAGGCAGAGAGGCAGGCAGATCTCTGTGAGTTCAAGGCCAGCCTGGTCTAAAAAGCTACACAGAGAAACCCTGTCTGGAAAAAAAAAAAAAAAAAAAAAAAAAACATAGTACTCTAGCCAGATGTGTGCCTTGAACCCATCCTGACAAACACCATACCAACCAGAAGAGGGATTGAGTTAACATTTCCGGCTGAAGCAAAGGCTGAGGAACCACAGCAGGTTGACTGACAGGAGACATGACTCAATGGTCCTGGAGCGGGAGGGACATACAGGAAGGAAATGTCAGGATATAATTAGATAAAAGGCCTGGACTCCAGTGGAGTTAGTGTGGTTACACGTGAAAATGTTTTTGTCCTTAGGAAATGCAGAAGTGATGAGTCCCCTATAGTCTCAGCAGGCAGGAGGCAGTACGAAGAGACCCATCTCAAAAGAAAAAGAGGGGGGACAAAGGGATTTTTTTTCTCTAATGATAAGGACAAAGGAAATAATGGGGAACAAAGAAAGGAGGAGGTAGACAGAGACAGGAGACAAACAGGCTGGGAAGAACTGCTTTTACGTGTGACAGAATGCTAGAAATTGACAAATTTGGAAGGGAAAAAATAGTAAATGAAAGGCATTTTGGCTTCTGTTTTTGTTTTCCCAGCTTTTCTATTATGCAAAGAAAAGTGTCAGAAATAAAATGAAACTGAGTGACTTGCTTTAGACTCAGAGCCTAGCATCTGAAATGACAAAGGATTCTGAAAGGTCAGCAAGCCTGAGTAACAACTGCTCAAAGTGAGAGGGGCTGCGGTAGCTTATCAGCACATTCACATGGGGCGGGGGCGGGGCAGAGGTGAAGGGGATCCCTGTGTTGCTCTTACTAGGATAGATGTCCCATCTTGCATCCTTTGTTCCCACCCTCTGGCAGATCTTTGCATTGACAAGAGCAGATGGCCCTGCAGATATAACTATAGAAAGGAACAGGAAACCGGGAGGCTCTCTTCTTTCAAGGCTTACCTTCCTTTGGAAAGAAAAACACACCATCCACGAGCCCTGTCATCTTTGCTGGTTAGTTCTATGACATGTGAACACAAGGGCGCTAGGGAAATCAAGAAACACTTCTCAGGGTCGACTGGCTAGAGTTCAGTGTGACTGAGCCAAACAACAGCCCCAGATAAAGAAATGAAAGCCATGCTTGCTTGGTAAAGGGTTTTTTTCCTGAGCTTCATGGTGCTGTGCATTTGAGCCACTCACAAGCTAAGGAAGCACACATGGGCGGGTGCCTGCAGCCCAACTCTGGCTGGCTGCTCTGCAAGCTGTCCCTTGTGTTTGTTTTGTGTGGAAACAATGTTTCTGGGTGGACTTGGTGCACTAACAAGTTCCTCCCAGGCAGGAGAACAGAGGCTGAGATGTGCTTTGCTTCTGGGATTCTGAGGCTCGCACAGCAGTTTTTAAAGCAAACACAGACAATGCTGTGAAAGTTGCAGGGACTGCAACCAGTTTTCTTTTAAATTTTTGGCAGGGATTCTTCTTTGTCCTTCGCCTCTTCCACCCTGTACCCCTCCCCATCCATCCCTCCTCCCTGGGTGCTCAGAAAGGAGCAGGCATCCCATGGGCTTCAGAAAAATCATGGCCTGTCTGGCTTGGTTGCACCTGTAACTTTTGGCAATAACTAAGGATTTCAGCTTTGGGCTTATCATTATTATTACTATTATTATTATTTTGGAATACATTGCTGAGTTTGAGGCTATTTGTTTTAACATAGTGAACTAACAGGAAATGCAAAGCCTCCAACAGATTGGAGCATAACAATGAAATCACCAAATATAAACTGGCACAATGGTAAACAGAGCGAAGAGGTGAGTTCTCATGGTGGGTTCCAAGTCAGAAGTTAGAGCACTGTGTGTCTGAGAGACATTCAGAACCCAGGGCTCCACAGGAACTCCCTCCACATAAAAGAAAAGGCTAGCACTATAGTTCCCATATGGGCCACCTGCCTGCCCAGTCTCTTCCCAGGATCCTCCTTGCTGTGTGGGGTGGAGATGGCTTCCTGGCCTTCTGTGTAAAGAGAGCCAAGGCATTCTAATGCCTCAGAGAAGACGACAGTGAACAAACAGTTACTAGCTGTGCATCCCAAGCCCAGGACTACTTGAGGGAGCCTGTGGCATGCTGAGAGAAATAAGAGCTGGTGCTAAATTAAAGGGGCAGGGGCAAGCCATCAGTAAGAGATGGAGAAGACATTGGGCTGTTTCCTGCCACTCAGTATCCCTGACCCATCACATTCTCTAAATTTGAAAACAACAAGGGCATATAGAATATTCCTCTACCCTGAGAGAAGAGAGGTGTTTTGGTTTTGCACATAAACCAAGTGGGAGAGCCTGTGTCCTGTTAGCGGTAGCAGAAGACAGAAGGCAGGCAGGGCCTCACACATGCTGCATCATCACTCTACCATTCGGCAACACCACAGCCTGTTCTAATTCCTGACAGATGATGCAGGAGTCTTGTGGGACGCACATGCAACTAAATCTTGGCCAGTGTGAGCCCCAGCAGGCCAAGCCTAGGCTCACATCAGCGAGCTGTGGCTCCTCAGTGTCCCCTATACCATGCCCCTCTCAGAGATCTGTCTGTCAGGGTCGTGGAGACCACAACAGTGCTATAGGTAGAAAGGGGTGGCCACTGTCTAGGCAATAAAGGCAGGGGCTACTGCTCACAGCACCTCCAGAGCCTTCTGAACGGACACTCTCATCCCCAAAGTCCCAGGGAGAAGTCCTGGTCAGAAAGGAGGTGTATGGAGCAACTAGAGGCTGCCTGAGCTACGGAATAGTACCCAGTTGACACATGTAAAGACAGAGGACCTAGTGTGAGGTCACTCCTAGTGTAGGCCAGAGAAAGTGGCTCGGCTGAACTTTCCACTGTATTCTGGTCTTCACATGAAGGCTTGCCAACATGTTCTGGACACACCACAGAGTGTTGTCAGACACTCCAACAGTGAGTTTGAGCTCACATTAGCAGACAAGAACTGGCATGTGTTTGGGTTCTGTAAACAGCTATAACTTTATTAAACTTCTGCCCAGTTAAAAACTGCCAGGCTGGTGCCTGTGTAAAGCAGATATAGTAGCTACAGGGTTTTCGGTTGACAATCTTAGGGACACAAGATTGTCTTAGAATGAAATAAATAGGCATCATACATCCCGATAAAGTTAAAGCACTAGTATTCAAAACATGCTGAGGCCCATGATCCATGGCAGGCATAAGTCACACATGATTTTTCAAGAGCAACCACCACTTCAAAGGTAGCTGTGACAAAAATAAACCTCACTTTAATTGTATACTTTTGGGGAAAGTTTCTGTGTCTGTCAGTATCATGGACAGTGGTGTCTGGATGTCCCACCCACAAACAGTGCAATAGGAACCCATGCCTACGGTCACATAGGGCAAGCTGTGTATTTGTTCTGGGCCCTGGCAACTCAGGCAGAGCATCTCTGGGTACAGACGGAGGCCCCCTCACAGCCCAGAGCAGAAAGTCACTGCCCTGCCTTGAAATTGACAGAGCAGAACTGGGGCAAGGCTAGACACTTGGGTCAATCAGAAATAGCTCCAAGATCCAGGCACCATGTAAGGAGGGGTGGATAAACTCTTAGGACCATTCGGCCACTGTGAAATACCCTTTATCAGAACCATGCCCTCCCTGCACTTGCCACTAGAGGGTGATGCTGCACCATGGGCTTAAAATTCTACATGCTGGGAAATTTTCACAAATATCAGCAAATCACATTTTCTTAGGCCAATACTTGGTAATGAGAAGGAACGTGGCTTCCAAATAAGGCACGCAGGCTATGAGTGTGTTGATTCATCCACACCCACACAGGTTCCTTCCTAATGCAGTCCTTCCAAGTATCCAGGCTGGCATCCTTAACAGCTTGCACACCTGACCACCATGGCTCCTTCCCTGACCCTGGCCAGGCAGAGACAGCATGGCTGAGGTCACACCAGAGGAATCAGAAGACCATGACGACCATAGCCTCCTGCAGGCAAATCAAGCTCCTTGCAATACTTCCTGGCTGTTATAGAATTAATACTAAAGAACAAGTTAGTATTCACCTAGATCTAAACTTGCTCATGACCTCATCTGTCAAAGTCACTGTCGGTGGAGCCGCCTGGTCCCCTGGGTCCTAGAACCTCTTTTTCTGAGGCACCTGGCCGTTGGTCCTTTCTGGCCTGCTGCCCTTGGTTTCAGACTGGGCGAAGTTCCAATCCACAGGATTTAGAAGCTGCTGGGTCTTTTTGTGTGTCCAGTAGGGGTTAATGAGGAGTGTGAGCAGGGCCAGCCCACACAGGAACAGTGCAAAGTGAGGCAGGTAGAGGCTGTCGACGAGCGCTCCCCAGTGCTGGAAGCATACCCACCACATGTGGTAAGTGAGGATCATACGGCAGTGGAACATGTGGATCATTAGCCACTGGTTGACCTTCCAGAAGAGCGAGTCTGACCAGCCGGCCTGTGGACAGAATAACACGGTGTGAGCTCAGGAGGTGAGCGGGTATTTGCGACCTTTCCGCACCATGAACTCCGTTCAAAGCAATGGGCTTCTTGCCAGCCAGTGTTTGCTCTCTTGGAAGACAAGAGCCTGGGCCAGCACCTAATCAGTGCAGGGCCTGCCCTGCTTACTTCCTACTCCCTAAGGCAAAACTCGAATCTTTATCTTGAATTAACACATAGGATAAAGCAGACCCCCCCTCCCCACCCCCCCACCCCCCCCCCCCCGCAGCTGCAGGCGCACTCCCTGGAACAGCTTGAGTCAAATGAATGTGTGTCCTAGCTCCTTTAGCTCTCACCTCAGAGGGCCTTGGATGAAGGCTAACACAGACTTGCTGCAACCCCACGCTGTGAGCACAGAGGTGAGTTTCTGGAGTTGTGGTCAAAGCAGAGCAGCATTCCTTGCCTTGCCAGGGACATAAAAGCCCAGCCCGGTCACCCATAGCCCACGCACTTCCTAGCAACAGCCTTCAGGTCTCCGCAGGTTGCCAACCCCAGATACAGATGTGACAGCTACTGCTCCCTCCTGGGATGAGACACAACCCTGTCTGTACAGAATTTGGAAACTAAGTGGCTGGGGATGGGACTGCTAGCCTTATAGTCAGCTGGGAGACCAAGCTAAGGTGTGGGCCACCGTTCTGGAGGCAGGACCATGGCTTACATCACCTCCAGTGGACCAGGGACCAACTTCTGAATCCAGCAACCCAACAAAAGAAAAGAAAGTTGCACCCATACTGCCATAAAAAAAAAAAAAATGTATGCATATGCTGACACACCCCAAAGGCTAACAGAAACTGATTTAAGGGATGGCCTTATGCATGGGTCACAAATAGATCTCTGCAGAACATTTTAAGTACCAAAGTAAAACAATAATTCTTCCTAAGACATACAACACTAGTGACCGAGGCTAAAGTGCCACTGATCTTTCTTTTAACTCTGAGACTTAAATTTGAGAAGTTGGAATTCAGCCAGGTGATGTCTCTCTGCACAGCTGCCTCAGGGCAGGTCCCGGGGACACTCTGGCCCATGTGGTTCTGTGTAAAGGCACTGCCTGATCTGCAGGCAGCCACAGCACTCCCCACCTCCCCTTACCTACCTTCAGGAGCATCCAGGAAATGCAGGTGAAAGGTGTGCTCATCTCCAAGAGCAAAGTGGTCATGGCCAGATAGTGGCCAGCTCTGAGATTGACCGCTGAACCCAGGAACCCAAGAAAGGCAAAGAGGTGATGCACAACCAAGAACAGGTCGAACGTCCGGAAGAAGAGGTTGGACAGGTGCACGGCCACGTTCTCGAAGCAGAAGAACCCAGTGGCCGTGGTAATGTGAAACCAGCACCAGTTCTGCTGCCCAAGAGCTTTGTCGGCGTGGAGCACCGGGTCCCCCAGCAGAGCCCACAGGCCGGCAGCTGTGCTCTGGACACCAAAGACTGCACGGGTAGCTGCCAGGTTCCAGAAGACCTTCTCTTTGGCCAGCAGAGAGCGGTAGGTGGTGTTCAGGGAGGATGACAGCTGGTGGCAGACCACAAAGACGCCCAGGTAGAAGACAAAGCCAGCCACCGCCAGGGTCGAGCGAATCTTCCAGGAAGCATAGTCCAGGTCAAAAATGCTTTCCGCCATGCCATGGTCGTTCACAGGAGTCATGATCCTAATCTGGGTGCCAGGGGCGTCCCCAGGGCCAACGGCGGGCAGCTGGGCCTGACACTGCTTGCTCCTCACTTTCAGTGAAGTTGTCTCGAGGATCTTCGGGCACCCATCCTCAATCTGAAGAAAGATGAATTCACCTTGAGCTGACTCAGAAGGAGCTAGAAAGCAAGAAACCACCACCGCCTCCTTCCCACACAGTCTACCCACCCCCACCACAGGATGACATGTGGGAAGCATGTCTTAAATTCTCTACTTTACTCTTATGCTTTCCAAGACACATAAACCCTGCAGGACACCGACAGGCGGCACAGGAGAAGGAAGTGAGCTGACTCCCAGATGCTCAGCCATGGAGGGATGGAGACCGCTGTGACTCGAGACACCGGCTATGCCCTTCCCTTCCTACGGAACTGCAGCCTCAGCCTGAGCCTTTGCAGCAGTCTAGTCATAAACTACATAATCCAGAGGCTGAACAGTGACCCTGGAATACACTCTGTTGGGGTCTTTTACCTTTACATTCTGAGGTAAGAATGTTTCCTTCCTGTTCCATGCTTGGAGAAGCTGTTAATTAAAAACGCCATGTTTTTATCTCCACCAAATACATGGACATGGGGCTAAGAATAGCTGGGTTCAAATCCTACTCCTGCCTGTACTGACCAAGTGGCCTTTGGATGTTTCTGGGACTCAGTTTCCCTAAGTAGAACATGAACACTGTGGAGTAGCAGATGGTGTGGGACTCTAGCTGGGTCTGGTATGTGGTATAGGTTGAGGTTCCCTAATCTGGAGCTTCTTAAGAATTCACTTCCCGAAATGGCTGCTACTTTGTTTTACAGTTCACACAAAGAGCCTGCCCTATCCGTATTCCTCATGGCTGTAGTTCCTCTGTTAAGTCTGTAGCAGAACTTTCAGGATAAGTCTGAACAACCACTGCCCGGGACCTGCCAGTGTATGATTCCTCTTCCTTTCCTGGGCCCCAACCTCAAACTCCCTGCACCTTGCTCCACCCACACCTTAGTTCTCAAGCTCTGGGTTTTGACTTCTCTGCAGATGCCCCATCCTGGCCCCAACCAGCCAGGTTACATCCATTTGCTTCAGATGCTTTCCAGTCTGTGGAGAAGCACCATGCTCTGGGCCAAACCCCCTTCCCACAAACTCACACTCCCTCTGGGACCAAGTCTGAGCTACACTCTGGTACTTGGTCCCAGCTTGCACCACACCAGCCCTGAGGAGGAAGCCCAACTTGCCCGTCTTTAGAACCCCACTGCCTGGCACAGTGGCTGGCACACATGAAATACTTGCTGAATGCATGCCATTCTAACCTGTGTTTAAATGGTAAAGTTGCCCACTTTGTGACACTGTAAAAGTGAGAATGTCATGGCTGAAGGAAATCATGAAACCCGAAGGGCCTTTCACTTCCAGAACCAGCCGAGCAGTCACAGAAGGCCAGTCCCACAGCATGAGGGACAAACCCTGACCCTACTTCCTCAGGGGCAGGGGCTTTCCCCCAAACACTTTGGGGAATGGAGGCAGAACATCGCAGGGGTGTGCACCCATGGACTGAACTGTGAGGGAGCAGGGTGTAGGAGCAGGGTACTACATTAGCTTCCACAGAAAGCTGGGCATGTGGCTTGTGAGCTTGAGTGCCAGGGCCTACCTCAAGGAACGAAAGAATCCGTAGTTACTATACTCCTAACTTGGTGGTGGTCCTATAGCCAAGGACATCCTGGAAGTGCTGGTTTTCCCCAAACTTGAAGACGTACACAGTTGTGTGGGCACAACTCTCATATCCATGTATCCGCTACAATTCCAGGAGCCCATGTCACCGTCCCCTGATGTGTTTCCTGTCACATGGAAATATTCTCTGGAGATGACAACCCTGGGGCTGTTCTGTGCACAGCGTACACCTGTGGCTCAGGCCTCAGCTTGCAGTAACACTAGTTTATTTCACATTTCCAAGAACTCCAAAAGTTACTCTTCCTCAAGCAAAACTCAACATGGTCCCACAGGGCTGGGGCACCTGGCTTTGATATGGCTCTGCATTTCTTTTCTTTTCTTTTCTTTTTTTTTTTTTTTTTTTTTTTTTTTTTCCTGAGAATAAAGCTGGCTTTGAACCCATGACCCTGCACACACACCAGAGTACTTTACACCTTCTGATGCAGGCACATTCAAGCCTAGTACAGGGCTAGGAGGGAAGGCAGTTCTTTCTTCCTGGGTCTGGTGTAAAAAAAGTCCCCATCTTGCACTTGTCCACAAGTCATGAGACCGGACACAAGTTCCCATTTTGCTGTGATTACATCACTGTACCAGTGGCCAAGTTGTCAGCTTCTATTGGGACCCTGACCCGGGTGGTCTCCCAACTCTGGAAATCTCTACTAAGTCTACTTCCGGAATCAAGGACACAGATACTGTCTGGTTTATTCAGAGTGGAAGGGACCCCAGAGCATCAAGATCAGTGGATCAAAGACGGCCTGGCTGAGTGGGTTCTCATAGCCTCGCAGAGCACGGTGCTGACCCTGGAAATAAAATTTACATAGAAATACAGGCCAGCAGAGTGTGCGGCACCCGCGGTTAGGCATATCCACCTGATCTGATTCTTCTTTAGAGAGAATGCCTCTAAATCTTCAAGATACTTTTGGAGCAAAGGCATCTAGAGCAGCAGTCACTGACACGGGGGTGAGGGGGTGGGAAGGGGGAGATGAGGAGAAGGGGAAGAGGGGGAGGAGGAGACTTCCTGGCCATTCCAGAACAGGTGACAGGTAGTTACAGAAATGATGTATATACCAGAACACACACTTCAACCCCTATCACTTCCCCAGGCTGGTTCTGCACTCAGACCCCCTGCTGTGTATGTTTCCATAAAGCACCTTGCACAAAGCTCTGGTAGGCCTGTGTTGTCTTAGCAACTAATGGCACCAATTAGCAGCCTTCATCTGGGGAGACAGCAGCAAGGTAAACTTCAAGTCCTCAGCCATGGAGTATCAGGCCAGGTTTGCCTGCCTGGTGTTGGGATCCAGCTGGCCATCCCTCCCTGGAGACCCACAGAGCCCTGCTGGTCCCTCCACCAAGTCACAGCTGCGCCTAGTAGGCAGCTCAGATGTGTATGGGACCAGTTCAGTTCTCCTTTTGCATCTATTTCTGCTCCTCAAACTGACCACATCCCTCTCACATTAGGAAGGCAAAAAGGGGCAGAGGTCACAACCATTCCCCTTCTGCACGCTTGCTTCAAAAAAAGCCCAACTTGAGGACTTCACCTTACTGCTTACTGCCTAAAGTAAACTGCATAGTGGAAAGTTATTGTTCCCTCCAGATAGTCAGTCCTCAGTCTCCATGGAGGAGGAGCCAAAGGAGGGCAGAAGGAACTTGCCAGGGATGCCACTAGCCTCAACCCACAGCCATTCACCAGGTCTGTGATCCTTGGGGGTGGGGCAAGGAGAGGGGTTCCTCCAAAGCCCATTTTATTTTATTACAGTCAGCGGCCCAAGCTCTACTTATACTGAACTGTGCCTTTTAAAAACAAAACCTCAAATGTATATAATCAAGTGTCAGTTTAGTGCTGCAGTTTAGTGTGACCAGAGGGCCACATCACCAGGAACTTAGACTCGGCAACCATGGTATCCTTCAGCTTTCTGTTGGCATCCCTGAGTTCCTCTAGACTGCTAGGGATACCAGAAATTTTGCGTTTAGTTAGGATAATGAACCCCAAACTTGGAACTGTAGTCAGAGGGAATAATGGTTGTGTGTGTTTTTTTTAGAACACCCCCTCCCAAAAATACACACACACACACACACACACACACACACACACACACACACACACACACACACACACGGTTAGGTCTCAAACCCTGGGACAAAGGCACCTATTAGAGTATCAAAGCTGACACTTGCTACTAGCTTCTCCCAGCATCCCTCAGCTCCCTACCTATCACAGGGGTCCTCCTGGCTAGCATACCTCACTCCCCCCCAAAACTTCTCCAGCCCAGGGGTTGAGCTGCCCTTCCCTACATAATGCAGGGGTTTTGGTTACACAGCCCCTTTTGCCTTTTTGGCCTCTTGGTCTACTGGCCTCCTGGTCCCCCTCTCTACCTTCCCCTCTCATGGTCTGGCTCAGCATCATGTTCACTCCGGACTCTCCTAGATGCCCCTGCTCTCCCTCCTATCTACAATAAACCTTCTCCTTCTCCATACCTAGGTGCAGTCATGTTGTCCTTTCATTTCTGTTTTTCATTCGACCATCAGATGCACCATTTACCACTAACAGAATGAATCCCATTGCTTCACAATCTCCAGTCAGGTGTGGCCTCTGTAAGCTTCCTTGATTTCTCTTCCCATGGGGGATAGGGAGATCGGCCATGGCCTCAAAAGCTGTGGTTTTACTGCAGTCCAGACCTCTTGACAGTTCCGTGTCTAACTCACACATCTTAGCTCACTCAGCACTTGGGGTTACTCACTGTAGAAGCCCTCCCTTTGTGTCTTCTTTTCCACACTGGCTGTCACTCTTCTTCTGACACAATCAACAGAACATGCCCCGTGGACTAACACATTTCAGAATCACATATAGGTGTTTGGTCAAAAAAATTTTCCCAGCATCAAAAGGAATACATGCTTATACAAAATTAAAAACCATAAGCTTGAAAATGGAGAAATGAAACCTAGTTATCCTTCAAGCAAGCTCTAAGCAACACCACTAGCCCTGGCCTATGCTGAGTCAGTCTTTCCCCAGATAAAAACATTTCCTTGTTATTAAAAAATAAGAAATGGATAAGTGCATGTAAGCAGTTTACTGTTTCCTTGTCTTCAGCCACACATCAGATAAATCCTCCTCACTAATCCTTGGTGGCCTGGGGGACACATGACTGGGATGTGTGTACTAATAGGGTTCTCCAGTTTCTCATCATCCAAGATATGTGCTGAGTATCTCAGGGAAACTGTCCAGGGAGAACTTTCCTGAAGCCTGGAACTCGGGAAAGCTAGGACAGGTCTACTAGAGCCAATGGAAGGCCCGGTGGGTGTGGAGGCATGTCATATTTTCACAGTATCTCATGTTTCCTTAACCTTTTCCAAATGCTCACTGAAAAGTTTAAGCAAAAAAAAAAAAAAAAAAAAAAAAAAAAATCCTAAACAAAAACGTGGAAACAAATCCAGTGTAGAGCTACAGACTGCATATATAAACAAGGTAAGAAATACGAACAGTGACAAATTCAAACAGTACTTAGCAACTGCCACTTGCTCCGAAGTCATCCCGACAAGACTCTTACAGACTTCTAAAAGGCTCCAGGCTACCACGACCATGCAGAGTCCCACCCTGTCCTTATCTGAAACAGCACCCTAGCCCCAGGACCGGCTATCGCCCGCAGTGGGTTGACTCCAGCCAGGTGTTCTAGTCCTCCTCCCCTTCACTACATGCTGACACCAACGCTGCCTTTCCTTCTCTGGTCCCATGATGATTCATCCTCAATCTCCCCAGCCCCTAGCACTGTGCTGACCTAGCCCAGTTTACGGTCCGGCTTCGCCCCAGACCGGTCCGTCCCTTTGCTGCTCCTCATCGAACCATGTTCTCTTAGGCCCCATGTCGACCTGGGCAATCGCACCCAGTCTGGCCGGTCCACGTGCGCCCCCACTGGCCCCATGACCTGGGAGCCAAACCCAAAGCAATGCCTCCTCCTCGGGTGGCTAGGCAATGGCAGCCCCATTGCAGGTGGGGGTACACATGGCGCCCTCTCTCACCTGCATCCAGATGAGCAGAATCGAGGTCGGAGGGGTGGTGGGGGGAGAGGACGCCGCCTCTCAGCCCATCAGCTGCTCAAACACTGCGTCCCAGGAGCTGCCATGCTATGGACACACCCAGTGACGCGAGCCAAACAGGACACCAGCCGGTGGGTGGCACCGGAGACCAGGACCCCACGCCCACCTGCGTCCCCGCCTCAGCTGGCTCCCGGCTTTCGGTCCGTCCCGCCCTAACCGCGGGAGAATCATCCACGACACTGTCGCGAGCTGAGCAAACACCAGCCAGGGCGCACGCGCACCGCGGGCTGCTGTGGACAACAAGCCCAGGGCCCGCCCCCGTGGGACACTACCACGGCAGGCGCAGGGGTGCGAGCCGTACCACCCAGCGCCGCGGGGGCGGCTGGAGCCGACTGCGCCTTGTTTGGTGAGCTGTGCTGGATTTGACTATCGTGACTAGAGCTGGCGATGGAACCCTGAAGAAGGGCAGGGAGGAGTCCGAATGAACACTCAACTGAGATCCTACTCGACACCCCTATCCTGCGTAGACCTGCCTCAAGACAATCCCTATGTATTACTCCCCCCCCCCCCACCCCCATCATCCGGTGTCCATTGGGGTTGAGGTTCCTGTGCAGAGGCAAAAGGCAAATGCAAGCTTAGGTCTCCCTTTTGGTGTCGACCAGTTGTGGGCCAGCGCTTGGAGCTCCCGGCGACTGGTTGGAGCCAGTATATTATGCTCGGACGGGCGGGCTGAACAGAGCAGAGCATGTCCCTTGCTACAACAGAACCCTCTTCCAGGCGGTGGCATCAGGCTCCTGCCACCACAGTGGGTTCTGCCCCAAAGTCAAGGACAGTGAGGAGCTGCTGGGAGCTCCTGCCAAGAGCTGAAGCTAGCTGGCCCTGGATCCCTTCACTTCAGCCATCATTACGGGAAGGTCAAAGACCTTCTGACTCAGTTCACCTATGTCATGCACCTACCAACGAGCAAGTAGGATAGCAATGGGTGGAGGCCTCTCTGAGCAGATGGCCAGCACTTGGAGAACCTGAAGCCACCTAGCATAGTGGGAGGTTCTGGAGTGACACAACTGGCCTCGGTTTAGCAATGTCACTTAGTCAGGTGTTTTCAAATTCCTATCTCTTAACCACTTTGCTCACCCTACCCTGGATTGTATCACATCTCAAGGCAGGATAGCTAGTTAGAAAATACTCTAGAAGGAATGAACTCCTGCACATACCCCACCCTCCTGGTTCTGATTTTGTCTCTGAACACCCAGGAATTCCAACGCAGTTAACCAGGCCACTTGCAAAAGAAACTTTGAGAAACATCGCATACAAAATGGATAAAACGGCCAATGAACTGTGGCTTAAGCCCTATGTCCCTGTGACATGTACACAAGGTTCCCTTTGGAAATGTCATTGACTCATCTGTTTATGAGAAAGATTTACATTGACGTTCAATTTTCATCCCCTCCCCATGTTTCATTAATATTTATGGCACCCCAAGCCCACGGTCAGCACCTTAGTTTGTGTCTTCTCACTTTATTGTTTAAAGCAACTACATAATTTCGAGACCACCCTGAGCTACATGAGTCCCTGTCTCAAAATAACAACAACAACAAAAAGTGAGCTGGGTGTGTTGGCATTTTTGTAATCCTGGCCCTTTGGGAGGTAGAGATGGGAAGCTCAGGAGTTAAAACTCATCCTTAGCCATGTATTGAGTTTAAGGCCAGACTGGGTTACACTGTTTTCAAACAAAGCAATTCCTCTGCTGTCCCTGCTGTCATCACCTGCAGGGTTACACCCCAGCCACTCCTTCCATGTAGCCAGCCAAGCTGAAAGCTTCCTCTAAACACTCATTAAGCTCCCTGTGGGTCAGGTGCCAGGGTACTCACTCATCCATCCATTCAGATGTTACAGTTGCCTGCCCTGGGCACCATGACAAACATTCCATACGAAGAAACCCAGTGCTCTTTGACTGACTCTCAGGCTGCCGTCCTCAGATATTGTGCCATGGGCCATTTGGAGAAGGCAAATTGGAATGAGTTTGTTTAATGGAGGTGGTGGTAAGGGACAGCTTAACACTCAATTTCTGGGGTGGAAGCAAAATGCACTCATGCAACATTTCATTGTTTCAAGATTTCCTTCTACCACGTGAGTCCTGGATGCCCACGTTTGATGTGGCATGCTCAAGAATACACACAAATAAATAATAAAAAGGAAAAACTTCCCTTGCAAGGCATTAGCAGGTGGGTATTAAGTCTCCTCTTGCCATGAATTTGAAAGAGAGCAAGGAGGGGTATATAAGAGGGGTTGTGGGGGTGGGGGAGGGAACAATGCTGCAATTGTATTATAATCTCAGAAGGAAGAGAGATTCCTAGACTTGGACCCATGGAGTCATTCCCCAGAGGCAGTAGTAATCATGGGAACAAGAGGCACAAATCTAACCCATATGGCCTGTTATCTACAAGCGCCAATGTGTACAATGTGCTGGCCCCTTGTCTTTTGGTGCAAGATAATGCATGCTGTCTCTAGGGACAGACTGGCTATGAACATGCATCTTTACAAGGAAAAATCCTCTTAAAAATGGATAATCAAGACAGAATAGAGAAGCAGGGAAAAATCAAGAAGCTGCGGGAAGGGGGAAAGGATCCTTTCACCCCAGAGTCTGAGTGAATTCATAGTAAAGACTGCCTGCAATATTCCTATGCAATATTCCCTTCTAGTTTATTTATTTATTTGTTTATTTTGGTTTTTCGACATAGGGTTTCATAGTCTTAGCTGTCCTGGAACTTGAACTGTAGACCAGGCTGGCCTTGAACTCACAGAGATCCTATTGCCTCTGCCTCTTGAGTGCTGGGATCAATGGCGTGCACCACCCCACCTGGCACAGTATGTTTGGTAATATTATTTTAAGGTGTGTTACTTTTGTTTATGTGTCATTTGTTTAACTCTATGAAGCTGTGTTACTTTGCCTGTCTAAAACGCCTGATGATCTAATAAACAGCTGAACGGCCAATAGTGAGGCAGGAGAGAGAAATAGGCAGGGCTGGCAGGCAGAGAGAATAAATATGAGGAGAAATCTGGGAGAGAGAGGCTCTAGGATCTGGGAATGAGAAAGGGAAGAGGACTTCAGGAGCCAGCCACCCAGCCACTCAGGTACACAGCCGGGCACAGAGTAGGAAGGAAAGAAAGGCATACAGGAATAGAGAAAGATAAAAGCCTGGAAGACCAAACATAGACGGGATAATTTACATTAAGAAAAGTTGGCAAGAAACAAGCCAAGCTAAGTCCAGGCATTCATAACTAAAAAATAAGCTTCTGTGTGATTTATTTAGGAGCTGGGTGGTGGGCCACTAAAAAAGCCAAAAGAATAAAACACACAACAGCAATATTCCTTTTTAGTAGAAATATTGCAAATAAGAATGTTAAAATAGCAGCAAGCCATGCTTAAGTCCTAAACACGAGTGATCTTTGAGTTTAATGTAGCTCCTCTCCCAGCCATAAATCTAGAGGTTTCTGGGCATTTCACAGGCGAGATTTTGAACTTTGCCCACAGTCAAGCATATGTCTTAATTTCCTATGTCCTAGTAAAAACTTCTCCCAACCTTGTGACCTGTGTTCTTACTTTGTCAGGCTGTAATCCTGTTCATTGTTCCTCAAAAACAGTAGTATAACTTCATTTACTAAAAGAAAAGTAAGTTCTTTTTCTTGGCATAGTGCTATATTTTTTAGTAAATACACCCAAGCTTAAACCTATAGGACAGCATTTTTATTTTTTTTCTTTTCCTAGCTTGTAATAGAGATCCACCTGCCTCTGCCTCTCAAGTGTTGGGATTTAAGGCTGTGCTACCATTTTCTTAATAATGGGCCTCTGGGGGAACTCCTGACAGGTTATTCCTAATTTTTTTCTTTGACCATTAAAAATTGTTTGTTTTGGTTTTTTGACACAGTGTTTCTCCGTGTCACCCTGGCTGTCCTAGACTGACTTTGTAGATCAGGCTGACCTTGGGCCAGTTTATCCAAACTGAGAAATCCTCCAGCCTCTGCCTCCGAAGCCCTTGAATTAAAGTTACGCACCACCATTGCCTGGTTGACAATTGTAAAATTAAAGCTTCTTTCAAAAACCAAACCAAAACAAAAAACAGTCATAAAGAAACATAGCTTTCCAAAGCCTTCCAGCTGATGTGAACACACACTGTGTCTGTTTCTTTACCTAGAAGCATTACTTTCTGGACTGTGAGTTCTGAGCCACGAGGCACAGTGCCTGGAGGCGCAGTGCCTGGTGCCGGAGTGGACCTTTAGGTAAGGAGTTACTGGCAAAGTGATCTTGCAGCACCAGGGCCTTCCTGAGCCACCCCTGTGATTACAGGGTTGATCTCCGCAGTGAGAGCAGGAGTGGAGGCAGGAAGTTAATGGTTATAAAGACATCCTGACAGTGACATGAGCACCTGCGGGGGGCTTTAACCTGGTGGCTTCCTCCTGTGGGGACATGTCTGCTGTAGAATATGATTCTAAGCTGTGTGACTTCTGTTTAACTTGGTGAAGCTGTGATTCTTTGCTTGTCTAAAACACCTGGTGGTCCTAATGAAAAGCTGAACATCCAATAGTGAGGCAGGAGCAAGGACGGGCGGGGCTGGCAGGCGGAGGATAAAAAGGAGGAGGAAGGAGGAAGAGAAAAAGCAAGAGAACAAGGAGAGGAGGACAACAGGGCCAGCCACTCAGCTACACAGTAATCCAAGGAGTAAGAATAAGATTTACAGGAGTAAGAGAACAGGAAAAACCCAGAGGTAATTTAAGAAAAGCTGGCTAGAAACAAGCTAAGCTAAGGCCAGACATTCATAACTAGGAATAAGCCTCCACGTGTGGTTCATTTGGGAGCTGGGTGGCAGAGGGTGTGGGGCAAGAGAGAAAAAACCTCTTACTCTACATGTGTCATATCTAGGGCCCTTTTTATTCTTTCTTTTTGGTTTTCATGACTTTGGAGGTAGGTAGGGTGGTGAGGTGGTTCTGACCCCAGAAGGGGAGAAGGTACCAGAGGTCCTATGTTACCGAGTCAGTCCCCACAGAAATCAATCTGCATGGAGTACTGCCATCATGGAAAGTAAAAAGCCACATCCAGGCTAAACATTACAATGCCACTAAGACATTTAGTGGGCCTTGCCATTCTAGTAGGAATCAAGGGGGCTGGGGTGCTGTCTCCAGAGGGGACCTTTAGTGGAAGACTCTGCTCCAGTGGGAAGGAACCATGCTTCAGTGGGAGCCATTAGGGGTGTGTTACAATCTAGGGAGAAACTGTGGGGAAAGGTGCTATGTTCCCAGTGGGCTTTCTACCGTTGCACAATGGTCCATGCTCCTGACTTCCGGGGAGGATGTCAACCAGGACTGGCAGTGGGTGACACAGAAGGTTCTGTTGACATTGTCTTTTAGTTTTGATATCCTCTCTCCTCCCCTTGGATGTGTGTGGGAGGGGATGTTTGCATTCTTACACAAAGTATATATGGATGCCTAAGGACAACACTGAGTGTGTCACTAGTCCCCAGATGCCTTGTGAGAGCCAAAGTTACATTTGAAGTTTTTATTACTATGCCTTAGAGATCCATGAAACAAATGACCCTGATCTGCAGGCCCCTTGCCCAAGTGCAGATAGTTCCTGAAATGCTGGAGGCTATTGTTCATAGGAGATAACAAGCCACTTGTTTTCACTCCTAAACAAGTTTGTTTGACTCATCTGCACTGGACGTGCTTGATCACATGTGGGTGGGAGATTCACAGGCAGTAAAGATGTCAGGATGTATGCTTGCCCCTGATTGGACCTGATGGGAAATACTTAAGCTGCTGCAAACTATAATTCTGGGTCAATTTCTGGAAACCCAGAGATGGTCCCTGCCAGAGCCCATCCCCCAGGCTAGTATTTAGTTAAAGCTTTCTTCAAATGTGACTTTAAATCTGTGCTAGTGATCTTATTCTTGATCAGTAGGATTCACAGCTTTCCATTTTGTATTTGAAACTGGTTCTCCTTAGCCTGGAAGTTTGCTACATAGGCCAGGCTAGTTGGCCAGTGAGTGGCTTGTCTTCCCATGGCATTATTGCTGAGATTATGGGGTATGTGCCATCACAGCTGGCTTTAACATGGATGCTAGGGACCCAGACTCCATCTACAAGTTTGTAACTCAGGCCCTTGACTGACTGAGCCAACTCCTTAGCCAGGGGGCTTAGGCAAAACTTTCCTTCTTTTCTCTGATTTTCTCTCTGCTCCTCTTTTCTTCAACTGTTTTCTTCTCTTTTTCTCTTTCCTTCTCCTTTCCTTGCCCTCCCTTCCATGATGTTGAGATCTACCCAA